AATGCCCTGCACAAAGCCATGCTGTAGCCCCGGGGCCGGCTCTACTTGATTTGTGTGTCTACTCAACACCCCTTCAAATGGCTGATAGCCCAGCTGTGGCGTCCAGTGTGGGCACGTGGACTCCGCCTCCCGGCAGCCCGGGTGCACACTGTGCTCACGGGCTCCCAGGGCCTGATATCCACAGGTGGATAGCCAGGCTGTTCTCCCGAGGCACCTCTGGGTGGAGTCGGACCTCCAACCTTTCTGTTACTGAGTGCTGATTGTCTGCAAAAACGTAAAGAAAAACCACAGCATTGTTACCGCACCTTAAAAACAAACAGGAATTCCTTACTATTGTCAGTCAGGCGGTCAGTGTTCAAATTTCCGTAATTACAATTATTTTTTAGAGTTTCCCTGTCAGGATTTAAACCTAGGCTGTGTACATACGTGTGGCTGGTTCCATCTCTGAGTCTCTTAATGTATCAAATTCTTACAGATTCAGAATCTATAAGACCTCCCCACTCGCCCCCACTTTTTTTTTAAATTTTTTTGAACTTCACGTTTGTGCAAGGTCCCGACTTTGGGGCCGAGACAGGAAGAGCACCTCCTAGGTTGTCGCGTGGCCCAGCTAGGGGTCAGGGCTGCTAGAAGCCGCAGGTTCCAGGGAGATCTAAAGGAAGGGCTCACAGCTCTGCTGCTGGCTGGCCTGTGGCATGACAGGTGGAAAAGCACCTTCTAGATTTCTTGGAAGGATGGACGTGTGTTTTCTGAGGTAGGTGAGACCTCAGGAGGAGGAGGCCAGGGGCGGGATCACTCCGGAGTGGGCGGAGTGCAGACAGAGTGCACCTCGAGAAAGAAGATGCAGGCATGGGCTTTGTGGAACACATAGGAGTTTGCTCACAGTTGGAAGGAAGGGTTGTCCGTCTGGCACTCTGCTCCGGGCATGGGCACTGGGGTTCTGCCTCAGGCCGTCACCCCAACCTAATCCAATCCAAGTTTTCACATGACCTGGCCGGTCCCCGGCTTCATTTGGAATAATGTCATCGGAAACCCCAGATGGGAGACAGACTGACTGTGCCCTCTCCCCAGGTAAATACCACTGCCCCGTGTTGTTCACCGTGTTCACCAACAACACCCACATCGTGGCCATCAGAACAACTGGCAATGTCTACGCCTACGAGGTGGGTCTGGCCACGGGGTGCGGACTGAGTCTGCAGAGGAGCAGGAACTCAGGCGTGGCCCCTGAGCGCCTTCTTGAGCCCTGCGTGTGTGCCCTGGGGGGGGCATTGGTGTCGCAGCTGATGGCCGGGGCTCAGCCGAACATCGGCCTGGGCCGCCTGTCACTGTCTTCTCTTTATTTTTATTGTGATTTGGGTGAAATTTGACAGAGCAAATTCATTTTCTATACAGGAGGTCATACATATTTTGTTTCATGACATTGACTGCAATTCCCCACCCTGGAACAGCTCTCTTCCCACTTCCTCCCTGTAGTTACTTCTTCCCTGTGTCCCTCCCTCCCATGCCCTCCTGCCCCCTGAGCTGTCTCCTTGTGCAAACGCGCCCTTCTATTCTCCCATGATGGATTTCTCCAAGGAGTGTATCTGCCTGGTGTAAATGTTCACCCCATAAGCCTGTCTGTTTTTTTACTGGAAGCCACGGGAGTGAGTTCATTTCCAGACCTGAAGGGTAACTAGTCTTGGGGGTCTCACCAGGCTCTATCAGATCAGTAAACCTGGTCTTTTTTTTCCCCCTAAATGATTTTGAGTTTTGTTCCACATTGTTCTCCCCATCTATCCAGGGTCTCCTACATAGATGCCCCTCCAAGTGGTTAACAGTGGTAGCTGGACACCATCTAGTTCTTCTGGTCTCATAGTCATATGGGCTGATGATCGCATGGTATACCAGTTGCTTGGACTAATTATTTCCATGTGTCTTTGGTTTTCTTCATTCTTTGCTCTGGATGAGGAGAGACCCCTTGTTGCATATAGATGGCTGCTTGCAAGCATTTAAGACCCTGGTCATTACTCACCACAGTGGAATGTGGAACAGTGTTTGTGTAGTATGTTATGCCAATTGAGCTTGATGTCCCCTGAGACCATAGTCCTAAGTCCACAGGTCCAACTATTCATTCCCTCAGGCTGGTTGGCTGTGGCCAAGACATTATTATAACTTTGCCCCTTGTTAGCTCCCTTACACGTATGGACATCCTTATAGCACATACAAACACGTGTGTAGAAATACAGTCTTCCATCCTTACATATGGTCTGGTACATTCCCTTTGTCTGCACATCTCTGATCTCTCAGCTCGTCTACCCGTCTCTTCACCAGCAGGTTCGTGGTCGTTATCACTGGGAGCGCAGTCCTGCGTCTGTAACAGGGTCTGTCTTTGTTGTCTGAACCTCGTGTGCATGTTCAAATAGTAGAAGCTGAGGGCGCCACCCTGGAGTTCCAGGCAGGAAGCCACCACTCTGGCTGCTGGGCAGGGGCCTGGTCCCAAGAAGTTCTTCCCCACTGTCCTCCTCGGCAGAGACAGCAAGCAGGCCTTGGGGGGCACTGTGCTGGGGACTGACAGCCCCCGGGGCTGGGCGCAGAGCACTGTCCTGCAGTGTTGTGGTCCCGGGCCGGCATGTGAGCTGGTGCAGGAAGGGGACATCACACTTACGTGTGGCCGTTCCCACCGGGGGGGTGGTCGCGGACTGCCGGTGTGGGCTCTGAGTTCACACAGCAGCGTGGCGGCCCCTGCGTCGTGGGAGAGCCCTCCTTGTGCCCTTCAAAGGCTGAGAACAGGACACGTGTGGGGGCCAGGGAGCCAGCGCTGCTCTGGGGCCACATCCTGGCCGTGGGATTGCACGGGATTGAGGGGAGCTGCAGTGCAGCGTGGTGCTTCTCTGGAGGTCCCCAGCCTGGCACCCGAGAGCTGTTCCGTAGAGCAAGAAGTGGGTGACGAGGAGGCCTCAGGAGCCTGTCGGCCGACCTGTTTGCCTCTCAAGACCTTCCTGAGTTTGCTGGGCACTGTTAGGAGCTGGTTCTTCCCACAGGCCCTGGTGCTCACGGCTGTCTTGCCGTCTTCCTGACCTCTCCCCCCGTGCCCTGCGGGGCCGGCTCCCAGCCTCTCTGCTTCTGGGCTGCTGTGCCAGGCGCGGGGGCGGCACCGTAACCTGCCTCCTCCTGCTGCAGGCCGTGGAGCAGCTGAACATCAAGGCCAAGAACTTGCGGGATCTGCTGACGGATGAGCCCTTCTCCCGGCAGGACATCATCACCCTGCAGGTGGCTGCCCCTGCCTCCGCCATGGCCGCTTCTTCTGTCTGGCCCTGTCCACTCCTCCTTGGACACCCTCACCCCCTGCTGCATCCACGCCACCTCCACCCAGAGCCACCTCAGGATGCCAGAGGGCCACTTGATGGGCCTGGGCCTCCTCCGGCCTCCAGGGCAGGGGCTGGGGCCCCGTCTCTGCCTGCGTGCAGCCAGGGTGTGCTTGTGGGTGTCTGGAGACCAATGAGCACTGGTCTGGCAACACGGGCAGCTGCTGGAGCCCTGGCTGGGCCACAGGCCTTGTGTGCAGGAGACACCCGGAGCTGCAGCTCCTTCTGGGGCACATCCCCTTCTGTTGGTAGCAGTCCAGGTTCTTGGTCCCGCCCTGGAACAAGGCGGGCTCACCTTGAGGGACCAAGACGCCTGCTGGGATCTCTGCTTCCATGGGCCGGGGCGGGTGGAGACTGGGCCAGGGGCCGCTGTCATACAGAAGGCCTGGAGGTGGGCCCACGTCTGCCCACACCTCCCCACGTCCCCCGTCCCCCGTCCCATGGCTGCCTAACAGCCAGGGGTGCTGGTCAGCCTGGGGAGCAGCCAGCTGGTCTGTGCCACCCCCTCCACCCCAGCCCATCTGTCCTCCTGTTGCGTGCCCAGGACAGAACCCTGCACCTGGCACTTGGCACCCTTTCCCACCCCACCCCAGGGATCCTCAAGACATCCTCCTTCCCCTCCCCCTGCTCCGGCCGTGCCACCCATGTTCCGGACTCCGGCCTCCCCCTGCCTGGGCTCCGTTGCCTGTGTGGCTGGGCTCACTGTGCTATGTTTTCTCTCTGCCACAGGATCCCACGAATTTGGACAAATTTAACGTCTCCAACTTCTTTCATGTGAAGAACAACATGAAAATGACAGACCCGGGTACGTACAGACTGGAGCTGAGCTGGGTAACAGGTTTGACTTCCTGGCGGCCATAGTACCAAGGGCCCCATCCCCCGCCCCCGCCTCACCTTCCAGACTTAGGTGGCCCCAACTTTCCAGAAGGGTTTTCATCTCCCAGTGCCAAGATTGGCCAGGCTGCCCTAGCTGGACCTGCCTGTCTCTTACACGGGGATTCCTCACCAGGGGCTGAGGGAGCCAGTGTGGACGCGGTAGTGAAGGTTCTGTGTCAGCTTGGCTGGGCCTGGTTTTGAGTGCGTGGGCAGCGGATGTAGTGATTCCTCATGATGAGACTGGACATTAGCGCCATGGTGGACTCTACTGGAACAGCTGAGGAGCTGCCTGAGGGTGTGGTCTGTTTCCAGTATAAGGAGAAGGGTTCAAAAGGTCTCTAGCTTTTTGACACATCTGGACCCTGCACTTGTCTGTGTCTCCATCTCAGCGGCCTGTTGTGTTGCCTGCTAATCTTGGCACTGTGCCTTTTTTATTGTCGACGTTGGGTTTGTCAGCCTCAGCAGCAAGCAGCTGCATGAGTTAGGAGAGGCCTCCAGCTCAGTGGCCTGAGAGCAAGAGGCAGAGTTGAAGTCCAAGGTTGAGGGGCCTCCACCCAGCCCCTAGAGCTGGCACTCTGAACTCAGACGTCTGCCCTCCCACTCTGTAAGGGAATAAACCCCTGTTTGTTAAAGCCACCCACCTGTGGTATGTCTGTTATCACGGTACTGGGGGACCAAGATAGTGTCATACGTGAAGCCCCCAGCATCAGGCAGGCACGCACACCCCAAACGCAGGGATCAGCATGCCACATCTAGAAAGACCCCAATACTTACTATTTTCTGTTCTTTTAAAAAAAATTTTTTGCAGTGTCCATGAACATCAGGGGTTAATGCCCTGTGGTTGGGATGACATATGACAATTGAGGCCTTGACTTGAGTGCTTGGGCTGCAAAGTGTTATTTCTTTTTCTTTTTTTCCAGGAAGATTGCGTATTTATTTTATACCACGTTCTTTACCTTTTTTTTTTTTTTTGGTAGTATGTTGCTGGCATTAATGCTCATTGATTGATTGATTGATTCCTTTTTCCTTATCCCAAGTTCCTGTGTGTCTACCTTCTGGTTAGTGGTTTGCCCTCCACTCCCCTTGCACCTCTGGTAACCATCAAAGAATTATGGAACTATGTGTGTGCGTGTAACCCTTTTCTTGATGTCTTACAATAGCAGTCTCAGGTATTTGTCTGTTTGTGATTGGCTAACTTCACTCAGCACCCTGGCCTCTGAGTTCATCCACGTCGGGAAGCATTTTGCAGATTCATCACTGTTCTTTGACAGAGCAGCATTCCATCCTGTGTACAGACCATAGTTGGTGGATCCATTCCTCCATGGATGGGTACTAAGGACATCTCCATCCTTCCACCGTTGTGAATAGCTCTGTGACAAACATGGGCAAGGACTTCCTTTTTCTTCATGGCCCAGTAGTGTTCCGTTGTGTGTGTTTTGGTTACTGGTGCAGCTCAAACAGAAAATACCACAAATGGGTGACTTCAATAAACAGGAGTTGATTGTCTTACAGTTTTGGAGGCTAGAAGTCCGAGTTCAAAGTGCCAGCTCTAGGGGCTGGGTGGCGGCCCCTCGACCTTGGGCTTCAGCTCTGCCTCTTGCTCCCCGCCCACTGAAGCTGGAGGCTTCTCTTCACTCAGGCAGCTGCTGGCTGCGGAGGCTGCCAAGCTCAAGGTTGACAAGTGAAAAGGCACAGTCCCAGTGTTACCAGACCACGTGGCAGGTCATTGATTCAAGTCAAGATTAGCAGACAGCGTGGCAGGCTGCTGAGTGAAGACTCGGCTACATGCAGAGTCTGAACGTGCCAAAAAGCTCAGAGACCTTTCTCAAAGCTTCTCCTTATGTATGGGAAGCAGACCCCGTCCCTAAGGCAGCTACTCAGCTGCTCCAGTCGATCCCACCACGGAGCTGATGACCAGGCTCATCGCTCCATCCAGCTGCCCAGCCGCTCAGAACCAGGCCCAGCCGGGATGACACGGAACCTAGCTAGTACAGTGTGATTGTGCGTATGACCCATGGTTGGTCTGTTCCTCTGTGGATGGGCTTAAGTCATCTCCCTCCTTTTGCTATTGTGATTAAGCACTTATTAATTTAGATAAAAATGACTCTTCAGAGGACAAAGCAAAGCATGCAACGAAAGGATCAGAACGTTTAGATAAACACAGAGCAGGAATACAGGTCCCCCCGCTGCCCCAGCACTCCCGCCCTCCCTGCGGGTCAGCTGTGAGGGGCCCTCCTGGGTGGAGCTGCCCAGCCTAGCCCACGACAGCACGTGGCAGCTCTTTCAGTCAGCCCCAGTCTTCCGTCCCCTCTCATGCTCCTGGGTGACTTCCTCAGGGTGCGGCCACTCAGGGCCACCACACTGTCTTACAGATGAGGAAAAGGCCAAACAGGATCCCTCTTACTACCTGAAAAACACAAACACCGAGACGCGGGAGACCCTGCAGGAGCTCTACAAGGAGTTCAAGGGGGACGAGATTCTGGCAGCCACCATGAGGGCCCCCGAGAAGAAGAAAGTGGATAAGCTAAATGCTGTGAGTTGGTGGGGGGGCTGGGAAGGTGGGGGCTGGAAAGGCAATCAGGGTGGCCTTCCTGGAGGAGGCAGCAAGCCCACCTGTGCACCTTTCTGTGGGCTGGCCTTCTCTGCAGGCCCACTACTCCACCGGGAAGGTCAGCGCCTCCTTCACCTCCACTGCCATGGTTCCAGAGACAACGCATGAAGCAGGTAGCCATGCTGCACCCCGCGACATCCCTGGCAGTGCGATGGAGCAGGGTGGGAGAGCTGAGGCAGGCGCCTTCTCCCTCCCTGGCACCCACTGGCATGCCGGCTGGTGCCCCGGGCTTTGCCGGGAGGTGCTCTCCCTGTCTTGACCTGCCTGCAGGGCCTTCCCATCTCAGGGGCTGTCTCAGGCTCCAGCCCTGGCACTTCAGGGCCCTGCCTCTCTTTGTATGTTATCCACTTGGGCTGCCCACGGGCACCATGAGCAGCCAGCACCAAGGCTGTCCTTGGCCTCGTCCCCAAGTGCCCTTCCTCCTGTATTCCCTGTTGTCTGAGCTCTAAACAACACCCCCCAGCAGCCCCTTCAATCCCGAGCCCCGTGCCAGGCTCACCCTGACCTATTCGCACCACCCCACTGCCCAGCACAGCCTGTGCAGGCCCGGGCCAACCCTTCCCAGACTGGATGCCAGCTATGCTCGTTTGTCAGAGGCCTGGACCCCTGGCCGGGGGGTGGGGCTGCTCCAGGGTGAGGCGAGCTAGGAAGCTCAGGGTCTCTGTCTGCAGCCGCCATTGACGAGGACGTCCTGCGCTACCAGTTTGTGAAGAAGAAGGGGTACGTGAGGCTGCACACCAACAAGGGCCTCCTCAACCTGGAGCTGCACTGTGACCTGGTGCGTGCGGGCGGACGGGATGTGTATGGACTGGGCTGGCTGGCTGGGGCTGGGTAGCTAGCAGACGCGTGGGCTGGGCGGGCAGGCTGCGGTGGTCTGGGGCCACCAGCCCCCAGAGCTCTCCGTGTCCATCTGCCAGCCATTGTCAGTAGGGAGCTTGGAGAACATTCCACCCTCTAGATCAGGAAAGTGTGTGGCCTCCCTCTACTCCCCAGGGACCAGTTGCAGTCAGTGGGGCATTTCCTGTGGACCTCCTCTGAGCAGGTGTGACACGCCTGTGTACGGTCCCATGACTGCATTTGGTCCGCCTCCCGGGGTGGTGAGTGCTGCTGCGATTGTGAGCTCCTGGCCCTTGTTTCCTGTCTGCTGGAACGGCCCGAGGTCTGGGCGCAGAGGGCTGCAGGTAGCCACCTCGGGCCAGGTGAGAAGGACTGCTGCAGGCCCACAGCTACGTCCGGGCTGTTTTGCAGACGCCCAAGACCTGTGAGAACTTCATCAGGCTTTGCAAGAAGCACTACTACGATGGCACTATCTTCCACAGATCCATCCGGAACTTTGTGGTGAGTGTGAGGGGCACAGCTGCAGTGTCCCTCCTGGGGGCACCGGCCACACCACACTGCCAGGGCCAGGCCAGCAGAGTACCTAGGAGGGGCCTCACTGAGAGCTCCTTGGACAGGTGGGGCATTGGTTCAGTCAAACCATGAGGTGGCGTGGATGCAGATCCTAGGGCTGGGTGAGGGGTGCCCAGAGGGGATGGGGTCAGGGGGCTACCCGATGGGCAGCCTGGGGTACAGGGGCTGGGTGGCTGGCACCCCGGGGAAGGGTGGGGAACAAGGGTGGCTGGCTGTGGGGGGCAGGTGGTCGGGAGTCTGTGTACAGCAGGCGGAACTTGCCCACTGGCATCTGTTCTTCCCACAGATCCAAGGGGGTGACCCAACCGGCACGGGCACAGGTAGGTCCCTTTCCCTGGGTGGCTGGCTGCCCCGTCGGGCCCATGGGGGCAGTGCCACCTGCGGGTTGGGCCCCACTGAGGACTTGATCACACTTCCCACTGAGTTCCCTGGGGACAGGTGCCAACTTCAAAAACAAACAGATCTCTAGGAAACCAAAGGCCGTAAGTTTGGAACATGACTGAAGGGAGCGGGCCGCTTCTCAAGCGCTGTCCCCGGCTCCGCGGCTCTCGAATGCTAACTGGGGAGGTCCCTTACAAACACTCGACAACAGACAAATCCTAAAAAGGTGTTGAAGAGGCCACAAGCCTGTTTAGGGACAAGCCTGTCATCTGAAGGGAACCTGTGCTGCCCATCAGGAGCGGTGCGCTGGGCACAGTGAGCCTGCCCGCCCATCTCACAGGGAGCCGGGCCCGAGGTGGCCTCCCAGCTCGGGGAGGGGACACTGAGAAACCCTTCTGAGAGGCCCCTCCTGGTGTCCCCAGGGATGCCTGCTGCCAGTCTGCTCCGTTCTTTCCAGGTGGCGAATCGTTCTGGGGAAAGCCGTTCAAAGATGAGTTCCGGCCCAACCTCTCGCACACAGGCCGGGGTATCCTCAGCATGGCCAACTCGGGGCCCAACACCAACAAGTCTCAGTTGTGAGTGGCACGCGGGGTTGGCGGGCAGGGGGAGGGGGCAGTCCGAAGCCTGCAGCCCTGCCCTAGAGGCACTCGCACCCTGAAGGAGCGCAGCACACCCAGGAAGAACACCTCCTGCTTGTGACATCCAGGCACTGCCACGTGTGCTGAACGTATGCGTTTGTATCTGGAGGGGGCCCCAGACCCAGTCAGACAGTGCTCCACCTGGTGAGGTGTGCTTGGGAGGGGGGGCCAGACAGCAGCTGCTGTGGGGGCCTGTGTGTCAGAGAACTGTGCTCCGCTGGGGTTCCAGTGACTGTTTCTGAAGTAAGTTGCCAGGCCTTTCTTCCTGGGTGGGCTTGGAACTGCCAACCTCTAGGTTAGCAGCCAACATTGGTTTGTACCACCCAGGGGCTCCTATGAAAAACTAAAAACCCACTGCATGGAGTGGATTCTGATCTGGCGTTCCTAGAGAGGACGGAGTGGAACCGCCCCACAGGGTCTCCCAGGCTGTCGGTCTTAGCAGAAGCAGACTGCCCCATCTCCTCTGCCAGGGAGCAGCTGGTGGGTTTGGACCACTGACTTGGGGGACTTAGGAGCTCTGGTGGCGTAGTGCCTAAGGCACTGACCGCTAACCTGAAGGCTGGCGGTTCAAACCCAGCAGCCAGTGCTAAGAAGGAAGGTTGGCCAATCTACTTCCCAAGTGATAACCGCCTTTTGGACTTAAAAACAGTAATTACCAGAGAGATTCGGAGAGGCTTCGGGAGGAGGTGGCTGAGACCCAGCGGCAGAGGCAGACGGAAGGGAGGGGACCAGACACGGAGAGTTTCGTAGGTTTCACCCAGTGTGTGATGGGAGGGTGTGCACAGAGGCCGCCGGGCGGGAAACGGACTAGCAGGGGTGCCATGGAAGAGGTCAGGATTTTATTTCTGGAGCTGCAACACAGAAGGACTAAAAGGGAAAAGACACGAGTTGTTTTCAAGGGAAAGGAAGGCTGTTCGCAGAGGCTGCAGCCGCGGTGTGGAGCGGACGTGTAGGCGGTGGCCCCGGGCGGAACACAGTGCAGCCGCAGCAGCTGGCTGTGTGCGCTTCATTATGAGTGTGCGCTTCATTATGAGTGTGCGCTGGCCGCCTTCCCCGGAGCTGCGGTCTGTGTACGCGCATGCGCAGGCCGCCTTCCCCCCCAAGGGAGCGTCGTTCTGTGTAGGCGCGCAGATCGGCTTCCACGGTGGTGGTTTGTATCTGGTGGGTTCTTGCTCATTCTCGGGCAGCCTTGCTGTGCCCTCCTGTAGGAACTTTATCGTCTCATCTGTTCCGTTCTTGAAGGTTGCCAAACATCTTCCAGTTCTGCTCCTTCAGTCCCGTTCTAAGCGAGCTGTTGTGTGTTGGTTACACCTTGGTAGATTCGCTCTGTCCCCTGTAATAAGATGTCATTGGAGAGAGAACCACGTGCCGTCCTTTAAATATTAGATATGAAACATGCCTCTTGGATGGTTTGGCTTTTCAGTTGTATTTAAGAGTTTTCCCCACCTTGATTGTCTGTGGTCTGCTGGAATTTTTGGTAGATCTTAGTTTCTGGGTTGTGTATTTGTAGGTTAATTTTGCGTATGATGATGTACGTAGGCACCACCACCATCTTTAGTCGCAGTGGACGGCCA